GCTATACCACTGAGCTATACCACTGGGCTATACCACTGGACTATACCACTGGACTATACCACTGAGCTATACCACTGAGATATACCACTGGGCTATAACATTGGGCTATACCACTGGGCTATACCACAGGCTGAAGGGCTCCAGAGGAATTCATAGGAAAAATTTGAAGGGGCTATAATGCCAGTGACCAGCAGATGGAGGCTTTTTTTTTTGTTGCTCCATTCATTTCAATGAGAAGAATAAGGCATAAAAAGTTAAATAATTTAAAAGGTTGAAAAGATTTGAACACCAAAAGTCCTAGCTGTATAGTCCTGAAATAGATGAACATTTTGAAATAGGCTGAAAGATGTAGGAGTAGTTAGACGCAGGAAAACGTACGGGATATGGAATAATAAAGAGAAACAGGAAACACAGATATAACACTGAGCCATAGTTTCTGCTCTATTCATTTCAATGAGAGGAATAAAGCATAAAAAGTTAAATATCTTAAAAAGTCGAAAAGATTTGAACACCAAAAGTCCTAGCTCTATAGTCCTGAGATAGATAAACATTATGATACATTATTTGTTGAAATAGGCTGAAAGGTTGAGGAGTAGTTAGACGCATAAAAACGTACGTAATATGGAATGATAAAGAGAAACAGGAAACACAGATATAACACTGAGCCATATTTTCTGCTCTATTCATTTCAATGAGAGGAATAAGGCATAAAAAGTTAAATATCTTAAAAAGTTTAAAAGATTTGAACACCAAAAGTCACGGATGCATATTCCTGAGATAGCTGAACATTTTGATACCTTATTTGTTGAAATAGGCTGAAAGTTGTAGTAGTTAGATGCAGGAAAACGTACGGAATATGGAATAATAAAGAGAAACAGGGAAACAATAGTGAGTGAATAATAGGGATGGAACGGTTTCTGAAAACCGTCTGAACCGTTGGGTTCTGTCTCGGTTTGATTTGCGTGTGTTTTGTTCGGCTCCTGCTGCTGCTTTTTCTCAGAGGGAAGCGTTTACACTCCAGAGCAGAAGGGGGCGCTACTGCGCCCAAAGCCAACCACCAGTAGGAAACAAGAAGAAGAAGAAGAAGCAGCTAGCCCATAAAAATCAGACCCAGCAGCAGTTTCTAGGTCTGCTGTATGGACCAGTTTGCATTTAGAGGGAAGCACATGTTGGAATTAGCACTGTTTCCTCTCTGGCAGAATCTCACCTACTTTAACCTCATAACACAGTGACACTTTAAGTTTGATAAGAAATCCAGCCTTATTTATTTGATTCTATTTAAAACACTGCAGAACAAACTGAGTTTTGATTATCAGGGGATTGAAACATGTCAATTTATCTTGAGTTAAATTCAACCAAAGGGACCTAAGTCTAGTTTTGATAGAGCCTATGCTCCTTTGTTAAAGATTGTTTGCCAAATAAGTGAAGCACATGTTGGAATTAGCACTGTTTCCTCTCTGGCAATGCCAGAATCTCTCCTACTTTAACCTAAGACTGTCATAGTAATGGATCACATGTCAGACTGCTTTTTTCTTTCAGTTTTAACCCGACTATACAAGACATAATAGATTTACTTAACAATCAACACATACCGAACCGAACCGAAAACCGTGACAGCGAAACCGTGAATCGAACCGAACCGTGGGTTTTGTGAACCGTTCCACCCCTATTGAATAAAACAGCAAACATAGCCGTCCCACTCTAGAATACTAATACAAATACACAACTCTGTCTCCATCCACACAACAGAATTAAACCAGGTGAGGATACACGTCCTTCATCTGGTCGATGGACGGCGTGCGGATGATGTCGTTGATTCCGATGATGTTCTCGTGTTTGAAGCGGAGGAGGATCTTGATTTCCCTCAGGGTGCGTTGGCAGTAGGTCTGGTGCTCAAAGGGGCTGATCTTTTTAATGGCCACGCGGATCTTGTTGTCCCGGTCATAGGCGGAGCTGGATCATGAAAAATAAGTAAATAAATACATTAATTAACACAAAAAAATATAATTAAAACACAATTTTGCATGCTACAGTTTCACCAACGCGAACTGAAATGGAAAAAATGCCTCTTTTAACAGTCCAACATCAACTGAATGACCCTGAGCCATGGTTCTGCTCCAGGTTTCTGCCTGTTACAAGGAAGTTTTTCCTTGCCTGTGTCGCCTAGTGCTTGCTCATGGTGGGAATTGTTGGGTTTCTGTAATTAACTTCAGAGTAGGGTCTGACCTGCTCTGTTTGGAAAGCTGTGAGACAACTGTTGTTGTGATGTGGAGCTATATAAATAAAATTGAATGTTTACTTTTTTTTAAATGATTAGATCTTTAACATGTTTGTTGGGCAAAACTATTTGTATTTCAATCATGACCGACAGAGAACCGAGGGGTGAGAAGTCATCCAAAAGCTTGTGTGGTGTAATATGGGTTTGAATCCAGGTGCCCTCATTATCCAGTGG